GAGGTTGGCAAAGGCCCTTCCGGCTCTGGTATTCTGTGTTCTACTGGAAACAAAGTCAAAGCCCATCGACTGAGGAATGTCTATACAAGTTGTGGTCCATGTACTGGAACATTACCATGCTGTAAGAAAAGGCTAATATGATAAATCTAGAGAATTGAGGAAATCCTTACATGAACTTATGCAGGGTGAAGTAAGCAGAACTACAAAAATGAACAACACACTCAATGGCTAGAACAATCTAAGTGGAAACTACAATCACAAAATGATTGAAAGTGAATGTTGCAAAATTACAAATAACTGGCATGGCCCCAAAGGAGAGATAGGAGAAAACCTCTCCCCCACCTTTGCAGAAATGGGGGGACATGGGTGTGTGACATTGTTTATATTTTCAAAATTTTTCCCATGGATTGATAAGTTTTACTGATTTTTTTTCTATTTTTTTAAGAAAAAATTCTTTATCTGGGATGCCTGTCTGGGACAGAGAAGAAAAAAAAATATAGGGAAATTTAGTTAAAACTACGTTAAAACAAATGTTTTATGTTAAATGTTAAAACCAAATGTTACTGTTAAAGCAAAAGATATCAGTAAAAATGTGTTTTAAAAATAAAAAAAAAACAAACAAATAAAAAACCCCTATTTACATGATCCTCATATTTCCATTCCTTTTCTCAGTCAGATTTCTAAGTGGGGAAAAAAAAGTGAAATTTCTATACCTGTTGCTTCTACATTCTCACCTCCAACTCCATTTCTAAACCCTTTGTAGTACTACCTTCCATTCCTATCACTCAGAAAAAACTACTTACTCTCTTCAAAGTTACATATTATTTCTCTGCAGTATTGAACACTGTTGATTACCTTCTCCTTCTGAATACTCTCTTTCCTAAGTTTTGGTGACATCACTTTGTTCTGCCCCTTACAGTCAGACCAATCCATCACAATTTTCTTTGTGGGTTTATCATCATATACTGACCCCCGTGTGGAGGGATTATCTGCACCACCTACCTGCCCCTGTCACATTCTTTTTAAAGCTTAATTCATAATCTAACATCCAGATAAAAATGGAAGTAATTTTTATAACAGCATTTCTGATGTAATAGTTTCTTAAATTTCACAATATAAGAAAATTTAGAAATATAGTAATAACATTCACAATATCATGTATTTAAAACATGAATCGAAAGTTTTTACCAATCAGATAACATCAATTCAGCCAAATGCATTTCCAAATTATCCCATATAAAAATCATTAACCTTATTACCTTTGGTATTTTATACTAATCACATCTGAAACCCAGCATATAATTACATTCAATTTAATAATAATAATGATAGTCAACATTTATATAGTGCTTACCATATGCCAGTCTTAATCCCTTACCTAATTGTAAAATCTTTAAGGGTAAGATATTGAGATCATAACAAATATCCATCACACAGACAGAATAGAATAATTATAAAAAGAAAGGTTCCAAGAGCTATAGATGTTCAGAGAGGGAGAGATCAAATCCACTGAGGGGCATCAGAATTAAGGAAGCAGTATGCTTTGGAGATAAGCCAAAAATGATAGGGAGAATTTGGTCGTTGGAAGACAACATTGAAGACAACATTCTTGGGGGAGATCCTAAGTACTAATAAATAAAGGATAAAGAAAGAAGGCTTGGTGGAGGTAAGTAGACTGACATGTATTATTCAAGATGACCCATACGGAAAAGGGATATCAATGGTGTCAATGAGCAAATGAATGACAAGAAACAACAATAATTCTGTCATGGAGTGAGAATGATAGAAAACATATGGACAGACCCAGGGTTGTCTTGGTACCCTCAACTATTTAAAAGGACCAGATGATTCTCTTTATTGAATTGTACAACTTCTCCATGGGGGATTTATGAAAACATATAAACAAGATTCTCTTAGGATTTACCTAGTATCTGATGCTATTTTCCTTATGGAAATAGTGAATCATCTCCTAGCCTTAGGATAATGGAAAACAGTGTCATCCTGGCAGCCACAACAGCACTGAAGCAGTGACCCCCACCTGTCAGACAGTGGTTCACATAGTACATGCAAGGATAGAAAGAAAAATTGCTCCTTAGTTTTCATGTCTTAGCCTGGTTGGAAAAGAAACAGCAGCTCACAGCCAGCTTGACAGGCCCTAAGGCAGCTGAGGGTCTTTGCTTAGGGTTTGCTTGACTGGTAGCTATGTGTGCCTCGAGGGCAGAAAGCAGAAGGCAGACAAAGGGGCTACTTAAGTAGGGTAGAAGCTGCAAAGAGCCGAAGGGTACAATATGCTGAGTTAGAAGGAAGAAATCCCAGGTGATCCCCAGTCAGCTATGGGCAAGCACTAGTCATGGGGAAAGTCATGCTAGACCTAACTATGTTTTACCAAGATATGCAGGCCAGTAAAAGATGTAGATCTATTTGGATCAATTTTTTGCTAATTTGAAGGGGCTCCTCTATTGCTAATTAATTTATGCAGTTGTGAAATGGGATAGGCACACTCAGTTCTTTGGGTGTTCACTGGGAAAGACCATAATGGCAGTGGGGAGTGAGGCTACAATCACGCTTTAATAAGGCATTGAGGGTGCAGGGTCGAACAGGAGCCGAAAGTACAGAGATAAGAAACACAAGATGTGGTGAATACAAAGGCAGATAGCACAGGTATAGTAATGAGTTGGTGAAGAGAGTCAGGAAGCACAGGAAGAGAATGGGGAGGGGAAGAGGTGTGGAGATTCACTCACATGACCATGGATTACAGTTGGGAGCACACGGCAGCATGGACCTCGATGGAGATGAACAAGTGCTCATGGAGCAGGAGTTGAGGTCTCATTATTATAGGATTTTTGTGGGGGTTAAACTAATTCTTATCTGTGTCATCTTGGGGTTAATTCATTAACATGTCCAAATCATCTCAAAGTTGTCATAAAACTTTAAAGTTAACACATCCATGTCATCTCAAATTTATCAACAACAGTTGGCATTCTGCTCTCTTACTGCTGATGTCTGAAAAAATATTTGTTACTTTTTCTCACTTTCAGAATCTATCCTTCCTCATTTTGCATATTAATCTAAATTGATCATTACAAAACCCTATTGAACTGAAATTTGGTGCTTCTTAGTTATTCAAAGACTGAAGAAAAACAAATTCAAAGTTGAGTTTGTACAGGTTGGGGAGTGTTTGAAGACTTCCCCTGGCAAAAAGGTAAAAAACGAGAACAGTAAGTTCCAATGGCCACGAAGGCAGCTGAAGCAAGCACCGCGGAGCACTCAGAGCTTGGTCAGACATCAGAGATGCCAAGATCTTCCAGTGCATCCCAGGCTATCCCAAGTCTTGACTTTTGTCTTACCACTAGATTTTGATGACTGGAAGAGAGAGTGAGGCTGATAACTTCATCGACTCTGCCTCACTTAAATCCAATTCAGTAACAAGTCAAGACATGATGTCACTGGTCCTCTTTGAAAATGAAGGCTGAACATCACAAACGACAAAGATGTCTAGACCAAAAGGACAGACAGAAAGGTCCACATGAATGACTTCCTCTGATTTAGTACATATTCTTAAGATGTGAATCTTGGTTAATAGGTGATACAGTTTGCAAATTATGTTCCTTTGATCTTTGACAAGGCCTGTATGTGACTTTTAGGTTCCCCTTTGCAATCTTACTTCCTGCTATTGTCACTTTATACTGGCTCCTTACAAATTTACTCTACTGTTAGGGAGGTGGGGGTGGTTCAGAAGGACCAAGACACAGTTTAACACAGCATAATCAGATAGAGGGTGATCTTTGTGTTAGTAAGCTAGCTGATGTTTGTTGTTTTCTCCTGTGGTATTGTACTCCAGGGGTCAGTGGGACCAGTGTACGGACCACACCATGCTTCCACAACACCAGCCTTGAAAGTCCAAAGCCAGCAAGTTATAGAGCAGACACAGGGCTGTTTGTGTAACTCTGCCCATATGTGGATTGATGTGAGTCCCAGATGTGGGCCCTTTAGGCAAGAGTAATATAAAAACAGTTTTTAGGACTTTGACAAGAAACTCCTGAGACACCAAGCAATCTTCAGCAAGCTGCTTTTTCACCCTTTTTGCAAGAGGTTTGTATTTTAGTTTATCCTCTGGACTGCTTTTAAACTGCCTAATGGAATAACTTCTACTGGAGGTATCAGAATGTTTGTAGTAAAAAATTGCTTGCTTGAACCTGTAACTTTAAGTGATCCATTGCACCAGATGAGCAATAGTTACCCAGATAGATTCCAAATAATACTGACTTCAGAGGATGGTCCCATCCTCATCAATAAATAACCAAGGCATTCCCATAATGACCTTGCAACTTCTGACCCCATAGATAAATAACAGGAACAGTATTTATTTTAAAATTTAATATAAAGTTATGAACATACATCTTTGTTAAAAAATCCTCAACAAATTTTTGTAGAATTGGTGACCAAATAACCGTTTATTCTAGTATTTACATAAAAAGCAATGGTAGGACACATTAGAAACTTGACCAGGAAAGGAAGTAGATGATACAACTTGACTTAGTCTCAAAGAGGTTAAGAGCTCTGCCTATAGTAATGACATTACTTATAGGCAGACCCAAGACTTGAATCCACAATGACACCAAATTTATTTAAAACAACAGCAACCCCCTACTGAGAGCTCACTGAGTGTTTATTTAGTAAAATGGCAGTCTTTATGAAAAGACTCATCTATATGTTAATTTGGGGTCCAAATAATAAATTCTGATGACTTCTTCACAATCACCCAGTAGAAATGCTTTTATATCACACACATCATGAGCAGTGCCCAGAGTTGGTCTGGACGTTGTTAGACTTGGAGCTGTGTCCTTCTGGAAGGGTCTAGCACAGAATCTTTTTCAGAAATGAACATTCAGTTTATGTACAGCCTGTATCAGTTTGCGTGTTGTCTTGGGGAGGGAAATGGGGAGGGAGGGGGAGAAAAATTTAAAACTCAAAAGCTTATGGAAGTGATTGTTGATAAATCAAAATAAATTGATTTAAAAAAGAAACGAACGTTCATGGATTAATGGTCATTGGAATCCCATTCTCCTCTCCCATGGGGGGACAAGGACAAAACATAGGTTTCAGGGGCTCGGAGAAGTGGAAGAGAGGGAAATGAAATATTAAATTAGTCTTCAAGGCGTCATAAAATGAAATATGCCCTTGATCATAGTCTAGAAACATTCCTACCTTTCGTATATGGGAATCTGATTGATGTTCTATGTGCAAAGGTGTGGTCATCACAGAGTAGGTATTTCCCTTCAGAAAACATGTAAGGAGAAATACATCCCCAGGACCGAGTGGAACATTTGCATTCCTACTCAATGATGCCTTACATACACCAAGTGACCATTCCCTACTGTCTCCCACATCTACCTCCCAGTAGTGCATTCCAAAGGTAAAGACCTGAGCTCCCAAAATACTGCTGTCTTCAAATTGGTGGAGAGCAATTGGTGTATTCTGCTGACATCCTCCATGAGTGACAGTCTTCCTATCTTTAGACACAATGAGATAGGGACAGGCACTTTCAGGATCCAGTGTCACAATTCACTGCAAAGAAAGGCCAAGAAGTTATATGACTTTATGTCCTAAAATCTTGAATGAACAAGTCAGAACAGCAAAGAATTTCCCCATTGATCAATTCAACTATGTCCATGAGGTCAGGAAGAAAAAGAATTACTTAGGACTAGGTGTGCAGAGAACTAGGATTTTTAATGGCCCCCACCATCATCACCAATGACAACTACAGACTGTATTATTACTATGTGAGAGAAGAACCTTTAATGTTACACTTAAAACCTGAACAAGCCTCAAATGACCACTTGCAGGCCAGAGTAAGCACATTTACTTGCAAGGAAAATCATTTAAGGGGCAGCTAGATGGCACAGTGGATAGAGCACTGGCCCTGGAGTCAGGAGAATGTAAATTTAAATCTGGCCTCAGACACAAGATACTCACTAGCTGTCAGACCCTGGGCAAGTCACTTAACCCCGATTCCCTTGCCAAAAAAGAAAGAGAGAAAGAAAATCATATTTCTTACTAGGTACTCATTAAGTGATTTTCCCTGTTCCATCCTATTGTTATCCCTGGTATGAGAATATTTCTTCATCTACTGTATTGATGCAAACATTAGGGAAGCCTCTGTGTACTTTGAAATTCCAGTACAGTGCCACTAATACTAATACTCACCTCTGAAGTGTTTCATCATTTCCCATATTCCAGTGATTTGAGACATGGACACTTGAGTACCGGCAGCTTCAGGATGATGACTCAGAAGGGACTCACTCCTGCAGAGAGGACAGTTTTGTTTACCCTCAATGACCAGTACAGACTCAGCATGGATATAGTACTGCCCTCCCTCCTCTAAAACAGGCCCTCCTCTTAAACTCTTAGCTGACCCCAAAAGGGAATCTTACCTGTTCAATGCATCCCCTACCACCTGGGGAGAAAAAGAGAGAGGGAAAGAAGTTTAGCTTGGTCCTCTGCTATGTCCTGGGCCAAGGGCTTACTGTAACATGTTCCCTTGATAAGCTCATGAAGTCAAATTAGCTGAGAGTTAATCAAGGAAACAAGAGTTTTTGGAAAATGGAACCAAGGAGGGGCAGCTAGGTTGCTCAGTGGATAGAGCACCGGCCCTGAAGTCAGGACGACCTGAGGTCAAATCTGGCCTCAGCCCAAACACTTGACATTTACTAGTTGTGTGACCCTGGGCAAGTCACTTAACCTAAATTGCCTTTTAAAAAAAATGGAACCAAGGGACTAAAAAGTCAGGACAAGAATTCCCCAAAGAGGAAAACTTCTTTTGGCAATTTTCCTGGAGAAAATGAAAAAGATCTGTCTCATCATGCAAGTACATGCATACACACATACATGTCATAAATTAGAAAAGGACCACTGTGCTGAACGAATCATCAGATGTCCCTCATTTCCCACACACTTCATGGACCTGGGTTCATGATCAAGAGATCAACCAAGAAAATTTCTCAGATTATAAAATATTGTACTGAAGTTATTCACACTTCAGTTTGGTTTCTAATACTTTTTTAATACAAGACTACTTGTTCAAATTCATGGCCCAGTTCCCTACCTTGACAAACAGAGCACATGCAGTATGATAAAACATTTCCTTGGTAAAGCTCCCACCCCATCATTAGAAATAACTATTCATGTCATACTGTGCACTAAGTACTTTGCTCAGATTTCTCTGGGGAGTCTGAACCAGGTTCTCTGCCCAGACATTAAATGCCAGCGGGCTGCTATGCTAGGCTTTTTGAATCATCCTGTTTCAGGCTGATTACCTATCTGAGTCTCACCTGAAGAAGCTGGAGATCCGGTTTCTGGTTATTTTGCTCAAGGTCTGTGATGACTTCCTTAGGTTCTGAAGGTGTTGAGAGAGTCTGGCCTCACTTTTTCTTAGACTCTTCATATTCTCACTTCCCTCTCTGCCCAAACTATAAAGGTGCCACTTTTCCTCATTCTTCAGAAATTCATGTACTTGCTTATATTGCACTCTAATGCTCTCCCTCCAAGCATGTACCTGTTCCTGTAAAGATACAAGAATCTGATAAGGTTCAAAAGCCTCCAAATCCATATCCCCAAAGAGCAAAATGACCTTTTACTTCTCATCAATGTAAAAACTTTATGTATATAAAATGTAGAAAATACTAGTGAATCTACTTATTGAATTGGAAGTACATGAATACAAAAATGAAGCACTTTTTATGGAAATAATACCTAAGTAATTGGAGAAATATTAATTGCTCATAAGTAAGTAGAGCCAATTTAATAAAAATGGCAATAACACCTAAATTAATTTAGTGCTATAACAATCAAACTACCAAAGGATAGCTTTGTAGAGTTATGAAAAGTAATACTGGTATTCATCTGGAAGAGCATCAAGTCAATAATTTCAAGGGAAATAATTGAAAACATTGAGAAGAAAGGTAGCTAATCAATGCCAGATTACTGATTTTGGGGTAAAGTTCCTAAAAGCTTTGCAGAATGGCTAGAACAATTCATGTCTCCATCAACAGTGAATTTGTCATTTTGTTTTTAGTTATCTTTGCTAATCTAGTAGTAAGAGGTGGAACACCAGATTTGCTCTATTTTGCATTCCTTTAATTGTTAGTAATTTGGATCATTTTGTGATATTGTTGTTGATGACAGCTTGTATTTTTGTAAATTCCCTATCCATTCCTTTGATTATGAATCTATTGGTAAATGACTCTTGTAATTATAAATTTTAATCAGTTCTATTTATACTGTGGAAATGATACCTTTAAATTAGAGAAAATTGCTACAAAGTCCCCTCCCATTAATTGTTTTCCTTCAGATTTCCTCAGTAATAAAATTATGAAGTGATACCCAAAGAGATTTAAGAAAGAGGAAAAGGACTCATATGTATATATGTATGCATTCATGTATATTTGCATGTTTGTATGTATACACTCATACACACATTATAAGTGTATTCATACATGTAAGTGTATACATGCATATTCTTGTGGCAAAAAATTGCAAACTAAAGAATGTCCATCAATCAAGGTAGTGCTGAACAAATGATTGTACCTGATTATAATGGACAAGTTCTTGTACCATAAGAAATCTGGGAACACTGGTGTGAACTGATGCAGAGAGAGAGCAGAAGCAGAACAATTACATAACAACACTGTAAAGCAAACAGCTTGAAAAGATTGAAGAATTCTTATCAACGCAATGACAAACCACAAAATTCCGGGTCTGAAGGATAAGCATGTTGTGATAGACATTGTGATAGATAGTGGATGGACTACAATGCAAAATGATAAACATTTTTGGATGTGGATAATGTGGCTATTTGTTTTGCTTGATTATGCATATTTGTTAAAAATTGGAGGCAAGGTAGGAGAAAGAATACATGTTTATAAATTAAACTAGCAATAAAAATTTAAAGATACTTTGTATATCAACAAATGCTTAGCATTCTGGAGGGACTATTCTTTTTTTTATTCTCTCTTTTATTCTCTTTTGAAATCTTTGACTTTAAGGTTTGGCAGAGATTCTCTTTCCTGGGAGTGGTCTGATTATTTCCTCTTTAGACTGCTCTAAGATCCCTTGAATTCTAGAATGCTCTGTTGATTTCCCACCCACCCCCACCCTAAAGTAATAAGATACTCACATTCCAAGTATTAATTTTCTCTCTCTCTTCAGCCAAAATGGCCTGAGTCATCTCTACTTCTTTCCAAAGAAGATCCAAAGTTTTCTGGAGCTTGTCCTGGAGAAACATAACAATTGATTAACCCATGGTGCTCTTCCCTATACTGTGAAGCTCCTGGGTTAGATAAACAGAGTCCTATCATCTCAGAGCTGGGAAGCCAGTCATAATAAGAGAGTCATTTAATATCTTTGGCTTGAGTATTAAAAGGTATGGCTGACACAGGGATCCTAGGTCCCCCATGGATTCCAGTTCCACAAGTGATTGTCTTGAAGAACCACTAAAAGAATTGTGGGAATCCTAGATGGGTTCCTGCTGATTAAAAACACTTACCCTAGAGTCATCTACAGCCTTTTCTATGGGGAACACTGTGTGCCTGCTATGTTCCTGGGTTTGGAAACAAGATACACAGAGCAGGGTTTGGTCCTCCTCACAGAACAATTTTTGCTCCTCCAGATGTCCCTCACAAGTGACACTTTCCTTCCTCGGCTTCAACAAATAGGGTCTATATTCTTGGCTATGCTGACCAGTTTCCCTAGGCGACAGTTGGGCTCCAAGTCTCTTATCTGGAAGGCCCTCCTACACAGAGGACAGGAGCAGGCTTGGTTGGTTTCTTCCCGGCTCCTGAGGAGGCACTGGTAGCAAAAGCTATGGCCACAGTTTAAGGTTACTGGGTGGCTGAAGTAGTCCACGCACACCAGGCAGGTCAGTTCTTCCTTGAGGTTCTCAGCAAATTCTGCCATTGTCATTTTTCTAAAAAGAAAGATCAAGGACGGATGAATCTCCTGAAGTAATAGAGAAAAGATTCTGAGAACTTTTTTGCTTCGACTTATATTCTTCCCAGGGTCCTCGGCTGATTTCCATTTCATACCTTCTCTGAAAGAACATAATTTTCCCCAAGATAAAAAAAAAGACAGTGGAAAATTCTTGAACAGATTAGACCAAAGTGGAAAAAAGTACCTGCCATTGTCTCTTCTTTGCTAGAAATTTAGAACGTGATACGTAATTATCCCAGGTGGAACCAAACCACCAATCTGTGGTTGAAAGACAAGCTCTTCATTAGGTACATGCATAACCAATTTCAGCCATTATATGGAACTTAAACTGCAAAAAACCTGATTTTCCCCACACTGTCCATCATTTGGATTAGGCTGCCCTTTACTTACAACTCACCAATCCACTCCCAACACAAATATATGCACAATTTGGTCCCTGCCTAGTCTTCCACTTAAAATATCTTGGAAGACATTAATCAAAAATAAAAAGTAGTAGTTTACCTGTCAGATTTGTGGAGAACAGAAGAATTCATGACAAAACAAGAGATAGAGAACATTATGAAACACAAAATGGATAATTTTGACTACATTAAATTGAAATTGCACAAACAAACCCAATGCAACCAAGATTAGGAGAAAGCAGAAAACTGGGAAAGATTTTTTACAACCAGGGCCAATGATAAGGGCCTCATTTCTAAACTATATAGAGAACTAAGTCAAATTTATAAAAATACAAGTAATCCCCCAATTGATAAATGGTCAAAGGATATGAATAGGCAGTTTTCAGATGAAGAAATTAAAGCTATCTATAGTCATATGAAAAAATGCTCTAAATCACTGTTGATCAGAGAAATGCAAATCAAAACAACTTTGAAGTTCCATATCACACTTACTGGGTTGGCCAACATGACAAAATAGGAAAATGGTAAATGTTGGAGAAGATGTGGGAAAATTGGAACACTAAGGCATTGTTGGTGGAGTTGTGAAATGATCCAACCATTTTGGAGAGCAATTTGGAACTGTGCCCAAAGGGCTATAAAAATGTTCATATCCTTTGACCCAGCAATGACACTTCTAGGGGAGTATACCAAAGAGATTGTACAAATGGAAAAAGGACCCACATGTACAAAAATATTTATAGCAGCTTTCTGCGGTGGCAAAGAATTGGGAATTGAGGGGATGCTCATCAACTGGGGAATAGCTAAACAAGCTGTGGTATATGAATGTAATGGAATACTATTGTGCTTTAAGAAATGATGAGCAAGTGGACTTCAGAAAAACCTGGAAAAACTTGTATGGACTGATGCTGAGTGAAGTGAGCAGAACCAGGAGAACATTGTACACAGTAACAGCCACATCGTGCAATGACTAACTTTGACAGACTTAGCCCTTCTTAGCAATGCAAGGATCTAAGACATCTCCAAAGGTCTCATGATGGAAAATGCTATCCACATGCAAAGAAAAAATTGTGGAGTTTGAATGCAGATGGAAGCATACTATTTGCTGTTCTTTTTCTTCTGTTTTGTTTTGTTTTTTTCTTTCTTGTGGTTCCTCCTATTGGTTCTAATTCTTCTCTACATGACTAATGTGAAAATATGTTTAATAGGAATGTATACATACAGCTTATGTCAGATTGTTTGCTGTCTTGGGGAGGGGGAAAGGGGAGAAAATTTAAAACTCAAAAGCTTATGGAAGTGATTGTTGAAAACTAAAAATTAATTAATTAATTTAAAAAAAGAAAAAGAAGTAGGCATCTCTCCAGACATCCTTGAGCCTTTCAAGAAATTCAAACTTGTAATTTTAGCAAAATTTTCTTCTTAATGTTAAGAGGGAAAAAAAGGAAAAACCTGCAGTGAATGTAACAAAGGTTTAATGACCTTTTAGTATCAGTGATACCTTAGGCCAAATTTATAACATAAATTACAAACTTTAATTTTTCTGAATATCATAATATATACTTGTTTTTCATGTGCAAAGATTCTCCAATCACAGACTCTCAGATGTCAGAGAGCAGGCCTCTCTCAAGGGCATCCGTCCAAACCCCTTCCTTTCACATTTAGGCCTTAGAGACTCTGATTAGCAGATTCCAAAAAAAAAGATTTCTGAAGTCCAGCTTCAAGAAAAATGGTGGGCTATTCAGTTCTTATATTCATCTATGTATGTATGTATGTATGTATGTATGTATGTATGTATGTATGCACATATATATATATAATACATATGCACATATGCATATGTGTGTATCCTCCAATGACTCTCTACTTTATAACCTCTTTTCTTATTGATCTGGTTCTCTTATCCCACTTCACCTTTCAGCTAGGTGCTTTCATTATCTTCCTTGCCCAGAAGCCATTATCCCTTGTTAGTTCCTTATGTTCATTAAATAAATAAAAGGAGAAAAGTGATATTGTCAAGTGGACAACATACATTTACTTCTACTTACCTAGCAGGTTTCCTGCAGGGTCTGCAGCTCCAGATCTGATCTTCCAAGATTCATTCTCTCACCCTGAATTTCCCAGGTTGGTCCCTTTTTGTAGCCTTCTGGACCTCTAGGATCCACCTCTTTGGATTTACACCTACTAGGTGCTCACTTGCCTGGTTCAAACCTTGAGAAACTGGGGTCTGTTTTGGAATTTTCCCCCCCCAGAGCTGAATTTACACCTGGGCAAAAACTTCACACTTCATTGAGTTCAAATCATAGCTGAAATGCCTGTTACATGCAAGGCACAGTGCTAGGCAATAAGGATAGCAGCTGCTCTCAAGGGATATAACAGTAGAAATTAGACCTATACATAAATCAGTGTAATACTAGTTAGTATGGGAAATCTCAAGGATTGATCCTTTTTAAAACTGTCTGCTTGGATGTACAAAATGAATGGGTCCAATATTCAGCCCCTTGTGTGTGAAAAGATGTTTGTGAAATTATCTGTTTTCACCGAAGTTAGTGTAAAAACAGGATGCTTGTGGATTAATATATCCTGATTAGCAGGTACTTTTTAACTACAGGTATTGACAAATAACAGCCGATCTTGCTTCTGTGCATGCTTAATTAGCTTCCTTGGGGTATAAGAGCTTGCTCTTGCTTCTGTATAGGTGTGTGTGTGTGCTCTTTGGGAGTAGCACACATCCACTTCTTGCAAGAAACTAAATAAATGCCTTCCTCCATTCCTTCTGTCTTTGAGTCAAGTATTTTGCAGTTTCTATCATGTGGGACCAGTAATGATTCCTAATGGAAAAACAGAGAATAGGTATAACCTTTGTATGTAGGTCTTCCCATCGTGTATGCCTCTCCCCTGTTGATAACTGCTAGGGGTTCCAAAGATGTGTTGAAGAAAGTTGGAATCAGTTGGAACTGGCTCTCTAGAAAGCTCATTGCTTAATGTTTATTGTGAACACTTAAACCTTGGAAATGAAAAATAGGCAAATCAAGGTTTGATTTACTGTTTTGTTGATTGTTTAGGCTTAAGAATGTGAAGAAAATGTTAATAGAGATTCCTCTTAAAAGTGCATACTTGTCCATTTTTTCTCCTGGAGAGTCTGTTCTTAAATATTTATCAGCATGCAGATGACTGATTCCCTGTCACCATGAGGATCAAATATAACATTTTCTGTTTGGCTTTCAAACCCCTCCATAATTTGGTCACCTCTTACTTTCCCAGTGTTCTCATGCCCCTCTCCCATATACTCTGTGATCCAGTGATACTGGCTTCCTTTCTCTTCCTAGAACAAGCCTTTCCCCTGTCTTGACATTGAACATTTTCCCTAGATGTCTCCAATGCTTGGAGTTTTCTCTCTCCTCATCTTTGTCATCCTTCTTCTATCCTTTCTTCAAGTCCCAGCTATAATCACAAGTTATACAAGAAGACTTTCCTAATCCCCCTTCATGCCAGTGCCATCCCTTCATTGAATTGTCTTACTTTATCCTGTACAAAATTTGTATGCACATAGTTCTTCGAATATTGTCCCTTCAGAACTGGAACTAATTTATGAAGCCTTTTTTTTTTGTATCCTCAGCTTTTAGCACACTATTGAGCACAGAATCGGTGTTTAATAAATGTTTGTTAGCTAACTGTATGAGTATTAACTTCTATATATACTCTTTTTTAAATGGAAATTAAATTTAACCAGTTAGTAATAAAACTACCCTGATTTTCGGTGACTTCTTTTGAACATCTTTTTTCTTCTATGTATTTTGTAAATGTTTCTTTGATATACTTTTTCCTTTTTTTTCTATCATAATAAGCTATGAATTTCCCACCATACCCCTGGCCACCAAAAAAAAGAAAAAAAGGCACTCTTTCCTTCTATGTAGTGACCCTTCCAGCTTGTACTTGCAGAATGAGCTCTCCAAACTAGGCACATCTATTCCAAAGAGTTTAAGGTAATTTGTGTATCTGAACTCCTCAAACTATATCTTTCAATCTTATAATAGTTGTGGGTAAAAACTCTAAAAGTGGTGATACTTAAAATCTCATTGTCTCTGTTACCTATCCTTTATCTAAGGTGAGGTGAGTGATTTACTCACCCTTGTCCCATTTAAAGAGACAGATAAGATGCGCTATTAATTAATTTCACACATAGGACATAGTTCTTGAAATGACATTGCACAAAATGTATATTAAGTTAAACCAAACAAACTTGGTCATGCCTGTGTGGCCCTATTGAAGAAAAGCAATAAAAACGCAGTAAGAAGTGAAAATAATAACTTAGATATTGTGACTGATAAAAGTCATAACTCAGATACCATGACCAGTACACAACCCTGCATTTGGGCATTTATCCAATAGCACTGGATTAATGCCCAAGCTTGGAAATGAGTTCATTACTAAGCAAAAACCCCAAAATATCCACCAATCAGCAGTGATATGCTTTATAACTCATCCTCTCTTTGTCTAAGCCATCTTGGCACCTGGGTCCAAGCTTTATGGGGTTCTATTATAAGAGATTCATTCAAACGTTTGAAGTCA